TGGGTCTGTTTCACACTACTTAAAAAAAAATTATTACTTACAGGAACCACATCTTTTCTTTTTTTAAAACAAATTCATTATTGTAGTCCTTTTTCCCTAGGGAAGGGAAATAAATTATAAAGAGGATCTAGTTGAAACCAGTCCCGTGTTCTTACTCTGTCAGTACTTTGTATCACTACAATCAGAAAAGCATGTAGAGAACCCATAATAAAAGCAACCAAATAGTGTTCATGAAGTCCAAGACACTAGTATTAATCACTGGAGCAAAAGCTCAAATGCACTCCCCTGAAATTTTTCAAATTAACAGAAATGGTAGTGACATTATGGGCAATATGAAGATTCTTTTGCTATAAAGTCTGTTTGTGGGGCAATTGCTAAACTTGAACAGGGTCTATGCATTGATTAGGTGGTAGTTATTTCTGCATAGTGCATATTTACAGTTACATGCATGGCGGTGCATACAGACAATGCTCATTACTGTTTCTTTCCCAACTTGGCTGATCATGCTATAGTTATGCAAGAGAATGTCTTTGGTTTTAAGAAATGTATCCTGGGGCCTCCCTGGTGGCACAAGGGGTTATGTCTCAGCACTGTGAGGTTGTCCACAGCCACTGCAGCATGAGTTTGATCCCAGGCCAGGGAGCTGACCCACCTGGCACAGCAGACCTCTCCTGTCTCACCCGCTGCTCCCCTCAGCAGTGTATTTCAATCAGTCTGCCTGTTCTGTTCCTCACTCTGTCTCTGGTGAATCCTCTCACCACTGCCCCCCACCCCCGCCTTCCTCGCACCACACTTCTCGCCTACACCCCAGCTCTTGTATGCATAAACAAATAAATTTAAAAAAAAAAATAAATACATTCTGAATAATTTAAGTGCAAAGGGAAAGTATGTTTGCAACTTACTTTTAAAGAATTCAAAAAACAACAATAATGTGTGTTTTTATGTGCGTGCATGTAAAGAAAAACAGAGGGACAGAGAGAAAAGGCAAGTAAGTGGTAAAATGTTAACATTTGGGGAATCTGAGGGAGGAACAAGGGACTATTTTACAATTTTCTGTAATTATTTTTATGGAGTTTTTTCAAAATAAAATGTAAAAAAAAAAAAAATGGAATGGGGCCTCCCCTGGTGGTGCAGCGCTTGAGCTCTGGGCTGGGCTGTGAGGCTGCCTGCAGCCTCTGCAGCACCGGTTTGTTCCCCGGCCGCCGGTGAGGGTCCCACAAAAAAAAAAAAAAAAAAAAAAAGGAATGGCCCTGCCTGAAGCCCACAGAATGCAAATCTCTTATCTCCAGTTTAATAAAAATCCACAGATGTCCCTTAAATATACTCTAAAGTTTGCAAATTTCTGACATAAATTAAACCGTACAGAGTAAGGCCAAACATTGTTCAGAAGCTAATTCTTTTTTTTTTAAAGATTTATTTTTATTTATTTATACAAGCACTGGGTACAGTCAGAAGCGCAGGAGGGTGAGAGAATTCATCAGAGCCAGAGCGGGGAGCAGTGCAGGCAGAAGGACCGAAGTACACTGCTGAGGGGAGCAGCGGGCGCGCAGCCATGTGGGACCCTCCTCCCGTGGCCGGGGAGCAGCCGGGGATTGAACCAGCGCTGCAGAGGCTGCGGGCAACTTCGCAACCTAGCGCTCAACCGCTGCGCCACCGGGGAGGCACCAGAAGCTAATTCTTACCAAATTAATCTATAGACTAATTGCAATCAAAAAGCAATCCCAATGAGAATTCAACAAGCATTTCATGGAATTGATGAGCTGATTCTAAAATACCTATGGAAATGGGAAGAACCTACAACAGTCAAAACAACTCTGAAAAAAGCACAAGTGTAAGGGTTAATGCTATCTGATATCTCAAATTATTATAAGGCCACAGTAATCAAAGCAGCATGGTACTAGCGTGAAGACAGCAAACAGATCAATGGAACAGAATAAAGCATACAGAAATAACTTAGCCGTATGTGGACCACTGGCTTTTGGCAAAGGCACAAGGGCAATGCAGTAGAGAAAATAGTCTGTTGGTTTTCTTAACAAATGGAGTTGGAGCAATTAGATTTCACCCATGGCAAAAAATGAACTTAGACTTGCACCAGTCAGATTAACCCAAATTGGATCACAGACATATCAGAAATTAACTCAAAATGGATCACAAACCTATATGTATACCCTAAAACCATGAAACATTGAAATTTGGAGATGTGGGCAGATTACAAAAGGAATTTGGGAAAATGTGAGGGATGATGTCTACATTTACTGTCTTGTGGTTATGGTTTCTTGGGTAGACAGATATATTTACAACTTTTCAAATTGTACACCATTTAAAAATACTTGAAGTGGGCCTCCCTGGTGGCACAAGGGGTTGGGCACAGTGCTATGAAGCTATCCGCAGCCACTGCAGCACGAGTTCAATCCCCAGCAGGCCAGGGAGCTACCCACATGGCACAGCAGACCTCTCCTGTCTCACCCACTGCTCCCCTCAGCAGTGTATTTCATCAGACTACCTGTTCTGTTCCCCACTCTTTCTCTCATGAATCCTCTTACCCCTGTGGCCTATACCCTGTTCTTATATGGATAAATAAATAAATCTTTAAAAAAAATAAAAATGCTTTAAGTTTACTGTATGTCAGAACCTCAGTAAGGCGGCTACAGTAAGTAAGTATATAAACACACCCATTCAGTAGAAGATTACGTAAGGTCTCACTACGTGGTCTTAAGCAAGATATTTCTTGAACTTCGACTTTCTCATCTAGAAAGGTAATTCTAATGATCCAGTCACCTGGGGTTGTAGGTAGATGATGGCCAGTGAATGCTGGTTCTCTTTTTCAGGTTTCCACTACTTAGCAGACTAGTAGCACACTAGGTAGTAAGAACTGTCAGTCTCTCAAATATCGAGACTGGATGAAAAGTGATTCAGCAGTTCCACTTCTGAGGATCTAAGGTACATGAAATCACTATCTTAAAAAGATAAATGCACCCTTGTGTTCTGTGCTGCATTTACTTACAATAACCAAGACATGGAACTACCAAAGTGTCCATTGATGGACCAATGGATAAAGAACCTGTAATACAGGGCCTCCCCTGGTGGCGCAGCGGTTGAGCGCTGGGCTGCGAAGCTGCACATGGCCTCAGCAGCACCGGTTCGATCCCCGGCCACCGGGCGAGGGTCCCACACGGCACGCAGACCTCTCCTGCCGCCCGCTGCTCCCCTCAGCAGTGTACTTCGTCACTCTGCCTGTTCTGCTCCCCGCTCTGGCTCTGGTGAATTCTCTCACCCTCCCGCGCTTCTGACTGTACCCAGTGCTTGTATGAATAAATAAATAAATCTTTAAAAAAAAAAAAAAAAGAACCTGTAATATAAACACAGTGGAATATTACTCAGCCATAAAAAGATGGAAATCCTGCCACTTGCAACAATGTGGACAGACCCGAGGGCACTGTGCCAAGTAAAATAAGCCAGGCATCTGTACAATGAATGCAGGAATGAAAGGTCTTAAATCTCATAAGGTTATTGTGAAAGTTACCTGGTTAATTGCTGGGTACTAGTTTAGCACCTGGCACATACTAAGCTTTCAACAAGTGTTTTCTCCTATTGTCTCAATGGTTCTGTCAGAATAAAACTGGAAGTAATGCTATCAATCCTGTCTCAAAAATTTGCCAGTGAAGACTTAACAAGTTAATGTTCTTTGTATCCTTGTTTCATTAAACAGCTCAGTAGAGTTCATTGGAAAGTTTGTTTAAAAAAACAAACAAATCAGAAATTCTAGGGAAACCTGGACAGCCAGATCTTTTAGGAGCTCTTCCAATGTTTTGAAAGGGTTGAGAAACCTGATCCAAGAATTCAAAAGGTACAAACCTTTGAACTGTTACAGTGCCAGGAGATTTTTTTTTTTTTAAGATTTATTTTATTTATTCATACAAGAGCTGGGTTGTATGCCAGAGGTGCCGGGGAATGACAGGGTTCACCAGAGACAGAGTGGGGAGCAGAACAGGTGGATCTACTGAAATACAGTGCTGAGGGGAGCAGCCAGTGAGACAGGAGAGGTCTCCTGGCCATTTGGGGTTTGTTCCCTGGTCTGGATGGAACTCCTGCTGCAGTGGCTGCTGGTAGCTTCATAGTGCTGAGACTTAACCCCTTGCGCCACCAGGGAGGCCCTATCACTGTTATTTTTGAGTCCTCAACAGCATACAGCCCATGACCTAGAGCACGGAGATTTCAGCTTTCAGAAGAATTGAAGTTCCCACTAAAAGGTTCCGGATAATTTCTCTCTCCTCCCTGCCCCTACCATTCCCATTTACCCCTAGCCCAGACAAACATTCCCACAAAAACGGCTGGGTACCCCCAGCGTGGCTAGCGGCTGGCTTTTCCTGTGCATTTCCACATGAGCCTGATTTAAGCACCTGCCAGAATACACTCCGGGGTCGCATTATTTTGGAGAGAAGCCACCCCAACCCACCAAACTGTGCAGCAAGGTACCTCGGTATCCAGAAAATAAATAAATAAATAAAAAAATGGAAAAGCTCAAGGGCTTATTTGTTTTGAAGGCGGAGAGAGGAAGCAATCAAGTTTGAAATACGTGGGCATTGTTTTTCCATTTATGAATCGACAGTTCAAGAATGAGTTCACCAACTTTTGGGGGGGCTAACGTGCAATGTTCCATAGCTCCACTGGGGTCCAGTCACACTAGCCCCAAATCGTCGAGCTGTAAGTTTATAATCTGGGCCCTTCTCTGCAGGTGAGGTACATCTCAATTGTTAAAAATAGCGCAGAGGGAAAGAGAGTTGGCAAAGTCGTTCGCGGCCAGGTTCACCGGAGGAGAGAGACCCAAGAGCGTTCCAAGTTCGCTCCAAACGCTCCCTGTGACCTGCGGGTCCTGGCTCACAAGGTCAGAAGGGGGTGGCGGCTCAAGCGTGTCCACGGACAGGACTGTCCCTCCCTGGGAGGGCGGAGATGAAGCCCCCGGCCCCGCGGGGCTTGGCCTGGAGCGCGCAGGGTCTTACCCAACAGCAGGAAGGACAGAACCCACTGCAGCACCGCCGCCGTCTGCAGCCGCCGCGCCAGCGGGATGTTCAGCGGCGCAAACTCGATCTTCATGGCTCAGCCCTGGGGAGCACCTCGCTGCTCCGCGGCGCCTGCAGGAAGCGCGCAGCGGGATCCCGCTCCGCGCGCGCCACCGGGTCGGCGGCTACTGGGAGGTGGCAACCGGGGAGCCGGCGGAGGCTGGATTTAGTGGGGGGGGGGGGGCGGGGGGGCGCCTGGGCTGAGGCCGGGGGCTGCCAATCAAGCGCACCCAGCGCCTGCGCTGGCCCTGGCGCCCGGGGCGCGCGGCAGCTTTGGCGCCCGCGGCGCATGGGCTGGCTGGGCGAGCTGGACGCGAGAGACCGCCCGAGGGGTCAGCTGGCGGCCCGCCCGCGCCCGGCAGCCCACGCTTCTGCTACCTTGCGGGGTGCTGGGGATCTCGGCCCGGATTTGACCATTGTTCAGCGGATCGATCACCGTGCGCCGGGTTTCAGCATCCGCCCTTAAACCCACCCCTTCCTTCAAATTCTGTGGTTCATACTTGGATTCTCTCGCCAACTGCAGCAAGGCGCGGGGTTTGCTTCTCTGGAAGCAGGGTGCTCATCCCGAGTCCCCCACATCACGCCCAAACTCCAGGGGCTTGGGGTGGGGACCCTGGCCTCCTCACTCATTTCTCCTGAGACTCCCTAGCTGTCCTGGAAAGCTTTCACCTCTTTGTTTATTCAGGCGTTTGTTAAGTACCTACTGGGTGCTGTGAACCATTCTGGGTGCGGGGCACTCACCCATAACCCAGCCACTCGTTGACGCTGTTATAGGGCAGCCCCGATATTGAACGGGGTGCCTGGCTGTGGGTCCTCACCCGCGCGCTTACAAGGGACTTATGAATACTCCACTACAGGCACACACAAAAGGTTAATAAAAGGTTTATTTACAAGGTGTAAGGGTAGTGTAACAGGGTGGTCCCCAGGAAAGGGGGAGGTTCCCTGCCCCACCCAAGGGAGGGTGGAGCTGAGCAGGAAGAGAAGAAGCTGCAAGAAGAGACTGAGGAAGGAAGCAGGATGGAGCCAGGAGACCTGGAGGAGGCGCATGGAGCCTAGAGACACGTGAAGAAACTGCGCTTGTCTTTTGGTCGTGGACTGGGTGACACAGATGTGGGTGAGACCCGTGGGGAGGTGACCATGGCAGCTTTTATCTTGATGTTGATTTTGCTCTTTTCCTTCCGGGCTTGTCCGGTTGTTTGTGACCCTTTTCTGTGGGTCCCCACTGGAAGATGCTTTAGACTTGTGGCAGGCTTTGGGGCCTTGCTCTGCGCCATTCCCATATGGATGGACTTTTACCCACGAGGGGACGGGTAACTTTGGGTGCTTGATTTAGAAACTAGACTCTTTGCCTTTCCTGTATTGTTTCCTAGTTTTATTAAAGTTCCTTCCCATTAAAGTCTCATATGTTTTGTGTTGATGCGGCGGATGGCAGAACCCATTTAGAATAGGCAGGTTTGCGGGGTTTGGGCTGCCCCTCTCCCTGGCCTATAACAGTAGGAAGACCAAAGTGCAGGTTTTCTGATGCCATGCAGACCGGGTAAAGGAGGAGTCAGAGTCCTCAGTGGTTTTGCAGGTTTTTTATTGGGGTTCACCAGGCATATGGCAGGCAGGGGTGCTGGGTGGGGGGCTGGCAGGCTGGCAGGCCTCCCAGCCCCCAGCAAGTCTTTACTCTATCTGGGCTCTCTGGCGTTCGTTCTGCTGCTTCTCGGCTTCTCTTTCGGCTTCCACTGGCGTCCCTGTGACGCCGCCCTTAAAAGCACAGTCTTAGCTCAGCTGAATCCCATCTACCTATGCCCACACCCTATTCCAGGTGCCCGCCATCAGGCATGCATTCAGGACAAGGATCCATCCTCTATCCTGATGGCGGAAGGGCAGAAAAGCCTGATATTTTCTTTACCCTACACAAGGGAAAAGGAAATAAGGAAAATGTACAACTCAGGGAGAAAATAGGGAAATAAAGTCTTTAATGCATCCTACCCGATCCGCTGACCTGGAAACCCAAAAAGCACTCTCAGCTGGCGGGGAGCCAAAATGGGGGACCCCTCCAAAGCCCACGTATCTGGCTTTATACCAACCTGGCTGCTTAACCCCACCCTCAGGTCCCAGCCACCTTCCCTTTGGTGGTGATAGGATTTGGAGTTCCCAGTGTCTTTGGCTTTGGCCTGGGGTGGGGTTGGAGTCCACAAAGCCTGTATGGAATTAGCTTTAGGACAGCCTTTTCCCCCTAACAGTATGATTGAGGAAGGCACTTCTAGGACATAGACTGGAGGATCAGGGAAATTTCAGATCAGTGCCCGTGACTTGAACTATAATGATGGATTTGTCCAGGCCAAGGCAAGTACATGTGCAAAGATCCTGTGGCTGAAACTCAAAGACCAATATAGTGGGAGCTCAGGAAACAAGGGAGATTGGGATGAGAGAAAGCAGAAATGGAGACCAAGATAAGAATGGCAGGAATGGTTGCTTGATTGGATTCACAATCTACTGGGAAGTACGAGCAAGACGCCCAGAACTCCTCCTATTCATCACCTGGAGTTTATTGAACTTGCACAGAGAGTTCCCTGGGAGAAAAGAACTGCCCACGGACGCAAAGCGAGCCCCCACCAGGCTCAGCCAACACAGCAGTCGATCCACATTGTAAGAATTCAATCATTCGTCATTTGTTTGGTGTTCAGCACATGTTTATTTGTGCATATATTGTGTCCCAGGTGATTGGAGTTAAATGATTATTGGAATGAATTGGTAAGAAACTTTTCATTCATTAAGCTGTTCAAGCAGCTTTTTTTCATTACCAAGGTTTAATTAAATGATATTATAAACAGATCAAAAGTATCCAATTTTCATCTCCAAAGAACCCCCATTTTTAAAAAGAAATTCAAGTAAAGCTGCTCTTGATAAAAAGGAAAGAGGACCCTGACTCCCACCTCCTCAGCACCGTGCTCCTCAAGGTGGATTTTTAGCAAGGAAACGGACATAGAGTAGATAACCTCTGCAGGTTCAGTAAAACACAGGTTGGAAGGCACTAATTTTGCTTTTTTTTTCTTTTCTTTTTCTTTCCTTTCCTTCCTTCCTTTTTTTTGGGGGGGGGGTACCATAATATTTAGAGAAATAAACAGTGTGAACAGAGTTGCAGTTACCAAAAAAACAAACAAACAAACAAACATATGTAATATCTCAACATCAGTGAGGGATTACCACCTTCCAGGAATACCTGCTTTGTGTGCTGCATTAATTTAAACGTGATAACAGAGCAGGTGCTATTATTTCTTTTTACCAATGATGAAACTGAGACTAGAGATCAAACTAACTGGTTACCTACTTAATAGTGGAACCAGACTTCTGTTATATAAATATTGGTTTGTGAAAATTGGTTATGGAAAAATTGGTTTGTAAAAATTGGTTTCCAAAGTCTGGGCAACTGAGTAACTGCCCTACTTGCCATTTCTCAAGTGATCTTACAAGGCAGGAAGGGACATTGTTGAAGCAGAGTAGATCCCTGAAGAATGGGTGAAGAGTAGTACTCCCACTGCCCACCTGTGACTATGCAGGTGCCTCTTTTCACCAGCTCTCTCCCTCTACAGGGCAGCAGCCTTCCTGCCTGCCCTTGACCTGTCAAGGCCACCCACCTGCAACCATGCAGGCCTCTCAGCAAACCTGTCCCTCCTGCCTCCTTGCATCTATGCAAGTGTCTTTAACTGTTTTATCGCTTCCCTGATAAACCTGCCCTTTAAATATATATAAAAAAAGAAAAGAATGGGTGAAAGAATGCAGCGGACCAAATCTGTCATAGTTTGAGCTGAGACTGGTTATCTACTCAATAACTTTATTTATTTGGCGTGCTATGCGCTTGGCATTGGTATATGTGAATAAATAAAACAGAAATCAGTTTTCAGTACTTCAACAGAAATGCATCAGGCACTTCTGCTATGGCCATTCTGGAGGAGGAGGATGTGTTGATGGGAAATCAACCCCTCCCTGCTTGGAGATGTGCAATTCTACCAACCCAGGGCCTTCCTCTCCTTCTCAAGTCTAGTAAGAAGCTGACAGTTCAGATTTCCCCATCCATTACAAAACCCTTTTCTTAAAAGTGAATAATTAAAAATTACTTCCTTGTTTCATCTAGCTTTGCCTGTACATTTTTTTTTAAAGATTTATTTATTTATACAAGAACCAGGGTACAGGCCACATGCACGGGAGGGTAAGAGGATTCACCACAGACAGAGCAAAGAACAGAACAGGCAGACTGATGAAATACACTGCTGAGGGGAACAGCAGGAGAGACAGGAGAGGTCTGCCAAGCCATGTGGGTTTCTCGCCAGCCAGCCGGGATTGAACCAGCACTGCAGAGGCTAAGGACAGCTTCACAGTGCGGCGGAGCTCAACTGCCTGAGCCACCAGGGAGGCCCTGCCTGTACATTTTACCACAGGAACCAATAAATTATATACCAAGTAGCCAGAAGCAACCAGACTAGTTCTAGTTGGAAGACAACAATGTTTTTAAATAACATAACATTTTATTCTAGCTGAAGTTAAAATGAAAATAGTATTCTTTGTACATTAAGAATCTTTAGGGGCCTCCCTGGTGGCGCAGGGGTTAAAGTCTCAGTGCTCTCAAGCTATCACCAGCCACTGCGGCATAAGTTCGATCCCAGCCTGGGAACTAACCCACATGGCGCAGCAGACCTCTCTTGTCTCGCCCGCTGCTCCCCTCAGCAGTGGATTTCAGTAGATCCCCCTGTTCGGCTCCCCACTCTGTCTCTGGTGAATCCTCTCGCCCCCCACACCTCTGGCCTGTACCCCAGTTCTTGTATGCATAAATAAATAAACTTAAAAAAAAAAAAGAAAAGAAAATGGCACAGAAATGGCATCAAGAAACCTTGATCCCAAAGAATCTCTTAAGGTGGTGGATCCCAAATTCCTAAGGAACATGCGCTTAACAAGAAGGGCCTGAAGAAGATGCAGGCCAACAATGCCAAGGTCGTGAGTGCACATGCTGAGGCTATCAAGGCCCTTGTAAAGACCAAGACGGTCAGGGCTAACATCCCAAAGGCCAGCAGCTGCAAAC